ATCCCCCCACCCCACACACTACATCAACTTTCTAGAAGTGCTCCCAAGTACAGCCAGCCACTTCCTATCCAGAAAAGAGGAAAAGAGACTGAAGGCATCTAGAGTGGAACTAAGATAAAACAAAAAGAGCCTCAGCAGTGTTGCAGTTCCTGACCGTCAGAACTTTGGATTTGTAGGAAGAACAAAGCAAATTTCCTTTGCTCTTGCGAAATCTAGCGTTTGTTTCTTTTCCTTACACTTCGCTAGAGTTTTGGTTTTTTTAAAGCTCCTTCACCTTTATCCTTTCTTCCTTGGCTGAGCAAAGTCCATCCGGGTTTATTTATACGCAAAGCTAATTGCACTACCAAGCGGTTCAGCAAGCCACTTCTCCAACTTTGCTGCCTCTGGGAGCACTCGGAGGGACAAGGGAGGCGTGAAGCAAAGTTGAGGGCCAAGACAAGAGAGACTCCCTCCGAATGAGTGCGAAGGGATGCCGGACAAACAACGGGTTTGTCCAAAACGAAGACATTGTGGAGAGAGTGCCCGATGGAGGCAGCCGGGAGGACAGTCCACAAGCCAGCCCCGTGGCCATCCCCGGCCTGGAAGCGCACGACTTCAAGGGCGCGCAGCCCTATGCGGGGATGCCCAAGGAAGTGCTGCTGCAGTTCTCCAGCCAGGCCCGCTACCGGCTGCCGCGGGAGATCTTCTTCTGGCTCACCGTGGTCTGCGTGCTGGTGCTCATCAGCATCACCATCGCCATCATCGCCCTCTCACCAAAGTGCCTGGACTGGTGGCAGGCGGGGTCCATGTACCAGATCTACCCACGGTCTTTCAGGGACAGTGACCAGGACGGGAACGGAGATCTGAAAGGTGCGTGCCTGGACCTGTGCACAGGGAGGGAGGACTCAGGGAGGGTGGTTTATGACCCCTGGTTCCCTGAACCTCAATTCCTGCGGGAATGTGCAATAAGCACATTCCTCCATGACTAATCAGGTCAGGTTTCTCCTTGTTAATGATATTTTAATAAATACTCAGCTGCTCTTCCCGGTAATGGAGGCTGTTTGCTGGAGGCCTTTGAACCAGAAGTGTTTGGTTTACTGCCCTCGAAGAACATAGACTTGTCCACTAATCAGTGCTGACTTTTCATGTGGCACAGACCTCCTCCTCCAATTGGTTTCCACTATCTTTGTACTTTGTAGCTAAAGTGTCTTAGAGTGACAGTTTAGGGTTACACTCTCAGCCATGGGACTAGCATGACAAGCTGGGAATTTATGAATTAACCAAGTGGAAATATTTTAGGGGAGAAAATGATGTGTTAAGGGGCGAAGGCTGGATTTGCTTATTTTCTCTTTAGCTGCTTCCAGTCAGGCTGCAACTCATGGTCATTCCAGAGCCCTCTGGAGGTGGGCCTCACATGGTGCTGCCTTATATTCAGTAGTGCTTTCCAGAAGGAACTCACCCAGTGTTTCTTCAAAGGTTAGGTCATATGATTGAAGAAGAGGGAAGAAAGATGCAGCAATGAGCTGATCTTTAAGGGAATCAAAGATCATTTCAAATAACAGACCCATATTGTTGAAAATTAGAATAAGATTTTTTTTAAAGTTAAGCTTAGTAATTTCCTGGTTAGTTACTTGGGGAGTGTGCTTATAATTTATCATTCAAGCAAAGATATTTTCATGAGTGAAATTTTGCAGTACACGTAAGGTCTGATCATCCATTTCTGGTTGACCAATTAAAAAAAACCCAAAAACCAAAGTACACTTTAGAATCTAGGTAAAATTATATCTACTTGTCTTTTTGACTTATATTTTTAACTTAACTTGTACACATATAAGTATTTAAGTGATGTTGCATCTGATGGTAATAAAGTTAATTCACAGGTCTAAAAAACCCAGGCAGTATTGCCAGGCTGTATTGCCAACCCGAATGTATGTGGTTTGAATCAGAAAACTCTCTGGAGAATCAGCTATAAATCAGTTCCAACTTATAACCTCCTAGCACCAATAACAAAAAACCTGAAATTTTGCTAGGAAGCAGGCAATAAATCTCAACATCAAGAAGACAGAAATCCTCACCACTGGGCCAATAAGCAACATCATGATGGAAGAAAGATTGAAATTGTCAACAGCTTTGTCTTATTAGGACTGACAGTCAACACCCTTGCCACCAGTAGTCAAGAAATCAAAAGATTTTTAAAAAAATAAATAAAAAGGTTTGTTGCAATGGGAAAGTCTTCTGTCAGGGACCTATCCAAAGTAGTAAAGAGCAATGATGTCTGTTTCAAGACTAAGGTGTGCCTGATTCAGGTCATAGTCTTTTTTTTTTTTTAATTCATTTTAAGGAAAGATTACAGAGACTTAGGGTTTCTAGTCATTCATTGTTGCAGCCATGGTCTTTTCAATCACTTGCTCTGCATCCAAGAGTTGGGCAATAAATAAGGATGACAGAAGAATCTATGTCTTTGAGTTGTAATGTTGAAGAAGAGTACTGAATACTCCATGGGCTCCCAAGAGAACAAATAGGTCTTAAAGAAAGTGAAACCAGAATGCTCCTTGAAGGCAAGGACAGTGAATCTTCTTCTCACATATTTTGGGCATGTTGTTTAGGAGGGAGCGCTGGTGGCCTAGTGGTAAGAACCTGTGCTGCAATCCTAAAAGCAAGCAATTCAAATCCACCTGCCTCTCTACAGGAGAAGGCTGAGCAGTCTCCTCCCATACAATTAACAGCTTCTGAAAACTTGTTGGGAGGTCAGCTATGGGTCGGTTCTGACTCTGTGGTACACAACAATAACATTTCTAAGAAAGGAGCATTATGCTTGAAAATGTGGAGGGTCAGCAAAACAAAGACCCTGATGAGATGAATTGACACAGAGATGACAACAATGGGCTCTAGTATGTCAGAGATGAGGAGAATGGCACAGGATAGGACAGTGTTCATATCTGTTGTTCATATGGTCACTATGAGTCACATGTAATAGCACATAACTACTACAACAACATATAGAAATTACAATATACATAGAAAACCCCAAAAACCTAGCAAGAAAGACTACTGTATCCAGTAGAACAATTCAGCAAAATGTCATGACACAAGATCAACATACAAAAAAATCAGTTGGATTTCTCTATAGCAACCAAGATCACATGTTGTTGTTATGAGCTGTCGAGTCACCTGCAATTCATAGCGACTACATGTACAACAGCCCTAAACCCTGCTCTATCCTGTGCCAATCTCGTTGTCTCTGGCACATCTACCCCCATTACCCCGGTCACTGAATCATTCCATCTCATCGAAGGTCTTCCTCTCTTGTGCTGTCCCTCCATACTTCCAAGTATGACGTCCCTCTCCAAGGACTGGTCACGCCTTGTAATACGTCCAAAGTATGTCAGATGAAGTTTCAGAATCCTTGCCTCCAAGGAACAGCATGGTTTGACCCTCTCTAGGATGAGCTTGTTCATTCTCCTAGCAGTTCATGGTGTATTCAATATTATTCTCCAACACCATAGCTCAAAAGCATCAGTTCTCTTTCTATCGTCCCTAGTCATTGTAAAGCTCTCTGATGCATAGCAAGTAATTGCAAAGACTATGGCCTGTATCAGGCACATGTTAGTCTCCAACTGACATTATTGCTCTTCAGTACTTTGGAGAGGTCTCTAACAACAGACTTTCCCAATGCAATTCATCTTTTAATTTCCTGGTTGCTGGTACCAAGAGGGTTGATTGTGAAGCCAAGTGCTGGTACCAAGAGTGTGATTGTAAAGCTGTCAACAATCTCAGTCTCTTCACCATCTATCATGATGCTGCCAATCATCTCAGTGGTAAGAATCTTTGTTTTCTTGATGTTGAGCTTCAATCCATATTTAAGGCTGCAGTTCTTGACTCTCTGCAGCAAGCTTCGGGTCCTCCTCAGTTTTAGCAAGCAGGTTTGTGTCATCTGCATAATGCAGGTTGTCCATGAGTCTTCCTCCAACCCTGATGCCACATTTCTCCTCATAGAGCCCAGAGTCCCGGATGATCTTTTCTGCATATAGATTGAAAAGGTATGGAGATAGGACACATCCCTGGCATATACCCTTTCCAAATTTGAACCATGCAATATTTCCTTGCTCTGTTCCAACCACTGCCTCCTGATCCAAGTATAGATTTTGCATAAGCATGATCAAGTGTTCTGGAATTCCCATTTTTCTCAGAGTTATCCAGTCTGTTGTAATCCACACAGTCAAATGCCTTTGCATAGTCAATGGAACACAGATAGACATTCCTCTGGTATTCTCTGCTTTCAGCCACGATCCATCTAACATTAGCTACAATATCCCTAGTACCATGACCCCTTCTTAACCCAGTCTGCACTTCTGGAAATTCTCTGTTGATGTGCTGTTTACATCATTTTTGGATAATTTTCAGCAGAACCTTACTTCCATGTGATATTAATGATATTGTTAGATAATTTCCATACTCTGTTGGTCACCTTTCTTTGGAATGGGAACAAATATGATCTATTCCAGTCAGTTGACCAGGTGGTTGTTCTCCAGATTTCTTGGCACAACTTGGTGAGCACATCCAGGGCAGCAAACAGGAAGTAAGAAAAGCAATATCAATTGCAATAGACAACCGCATACTTAGGGATAAACATAACTAGAGACACTAAACAATCTTTATAAAGAAACCTACAAAACACTATAATAAGAAACAAAACAAAGACCTTGATAAATGGAAGACTATACCCTTTTCATGTATTTTTATTCTTGTGAGAGGCCATTGAATCAAGTATGACTCACAACAGCCCTATAAAGAACAGATCTGAACTCTTCCTGTCCTCTGCTATCCTCACAATCTCTGACACACTCAAGCACATTCCTGTAGTCATTGTGTCAGTCCACCTGGCTGAAGGTCTTCCTCTCTTTCACTGTCCCTCCACCTTCCCAAGCATGATATCCCTTTTTAAGGAATAGCCTGTCCAACAACATGTCCAAAGTAGATGAGATGAAGCTTTATCATCTTTGCCTCTAAGAAGCATTCTGGTTGCACATTCTCCAAGAAATATCTGTTTATTCTTTTAGCAGTCCAGGGAATATTTAGTACTCTTCTCCAACACCACCGTTTAAATGCATCATTTTTTTTTTCTCCTGTCATCCTCATTGTTCAGCTCTCAATAGCATAATAAGTGATTGAAAAGGCTATGGTCTGGATCAGGCACACCTTAGTCCTAAAACTAGCATCGTTGTAGCTCATTAATTTGGAGAGGTCCTTGGTTACAGACTTTCTCAGTGTAATACATCTCCTGATGTCCTGACTTCTAGTACCAGGTGTATTGATTGTGGATCCAAGTAAGATGAAGTCTCTGGCAGTTATGGTCTTTTCTCTATCTATCATGATGTTGTCTATCAGTCCAGTGGTGAGAATTGTTTTCTTGACACTGACATGCAATCCATATTGAAGGCTACAGCCTTCGATCTTCTGCAGCAAGTGCTTCAAGCTGTTTGTGTATGGGAAGACTCACTATTGTGAAAGTGACAATTGTGATGAAAAAGCAATATATGGATCCAACACAATGCTAATATGGATACTGATACTATTTTTCAAAGAGAGGAAACATTGGAGCTCTGGTGGCCTAGTAGCAAGGAGCTGCACTGCAGTCCTGAAGGTGTGTAGTTCAAGTCCACCAGATGCTCCACTGGAGAAGGATGGACAGTCTCCTCCTATGCCAGCTGGATCTGACTTGATGGCACACAACAACAACAAAATATAAAATAAACTGTCACCAAAGAAATGGAACATGGAAAAGGCAATTTCCAATTTTATTTGGAAGAGACTCCAAATAAACAAAACTCTGCTTAAAAAAAAAAAGAAAGAAAAAGACAAAGTATGAG